TAATCGTCTCGACAGAAAGTTGGTCAAGGGATTGGTTTCACTTGTGTCTCACGCATTTTAGCTTGGTTGCTGAGACTGGTAAGACTCACTGACAATGCCGGCGAAGTGTCTGGGAATGTATCAAGTCCGCGGTTCGACTAGAAATTATTATGCATACTATGGACTCTGAATAAGGTGCGCTTCCAAATGTCTTCCTGTTGATATAACGAGGTTGCAAAAGCATGATCAAAATTCCTATCTCTAGTAAGATTTACAAAAGCTGTTTCAGGTTCCCTTGTTGATCACTTAGTTATCCCAAACTCCCATAATATCCTGCTTTTTATTATCATTATTCACTTTTCTTAAACAGAATAGTCTTAATATGGGATTTAATAGCATGAATTATTCAGGGATTTACAGGCATGCTTATCCTAACTTTTATTTTGTGCTGAGGATATAGGTGTTAAATTATTAATACGGTAGATTGTTTGTTCTAAAACATTGCTATTTTTACCATTTATATTCGGTTCAAAACAAGCCTTTGTTTCTTCATAGTTTTATCCTGTCATATACAGCAGTGGAGTTCTTATCCTGGTTAAATTAATTCTCACCTTGGCGTGAATCTCTTAGACAAACTTGTAAATCTTTACTATAGCAATATAGGTCTATCGAGCTACGTCATTTGTATATGCTTTGCGTAACTTTGCAACATCACGTTTGTTACGTCGTTTATAGGAAGTCGATACTTACTAGGTTATGCATTTCATGGATTAACTAATGTTGACCCTTGAAATAAATATATTTACCTAAAATGGTATTTGGATTTTGTTGTCGATTCCATACTCAAATTTTTTCTTATGTGCAAGATGGCCTTCAAGTTCCTATGATGTATTTTCACTCTTCATAACCCAACAAGTGAAGACTGATAAAAGTCAAAACAACTAACTTTTGGGAATTCAATCAATGGCCTTGAAAAAAAAACAGTTTTTCATCATTTTGATATAGTGCTTTTAATTGTCTCATTTGTCGACACTACTTCTCCTGGATTAGTCTTTGGGTGGGGAATAGTTTAGTGGCTTATCTCTATTACTCAATGCAACTTTTAGTTTTGTCACATCACAAATACGTCTATCTTCTAATATTTATTTAACTTATAAATCATCTTCATTCTATTCCTGTCGACTACTTAAATCTCGTCATTGTATTGAGCTTACCTTTAGAACTATCAGATCGGGACCTTGTGAACCAATCAGAAGCCTACATTTAGATCACGCGAGTGTTTTAAGCAGGAGGACCTCTGAACTCAGCGACTGCTCCAGCAGCCCACTTCCCTTAAGTCGTTAAGCCCTTGTCATTGAGTTCCACCACTGCACGCCTCGTTTGTAGGCTATGTCCGCTCCCATCTCACTGGTTTGTCTTGGGTTCCACCTGTGGTAAGCCCCGACGCTCATCTTATCTACAGCCTTGAACCTCTCACTTTGTCTGTGTCGTATCGCCAACCTAGCCGCTATCATGGATGTCAAATGCACGCATCTCCACTGGCCTCTGCTAAAGTGTGCCACGCTCGTGCATCGCTCCTTCCCGCATGCATCTGCGATGCTACAGGTCGGTTGAACTTACGCGTAAGATAGACCGTATTCAATCTATGTTTTCGTCCAAGGTGAGGTCTTGCAATGGCAGATTCGTTGCGCCCGCATCTTCAGGACTTTCTCTACAAAACGATGCGACTTTACCCTATGGTTGACTTCAAATCAATTTCACCTATCCATTTTGGGCTTTTGCAGCCTCACATACATCGTCAATTCCACGTTGATCTGACGACTACAACTCCTGCTTTATCTCTTGCTCATTCACCTTCATCACGAACACACATAAAACTAATTAGTCTTGCACACCTGTATCTATTCTACCTTAACCTCATAATTTGGAGTTTTATTGGCTCGTATTTAATTCTCTCACTGAATTGAAAAGATGTGATTTCGTCATTAAATTTTATTGCTTGGTTCTCTTCATAAACTTTGACAAGTCTTGAGTTTAGAACTCGGTTGGCACTGATGAAAATGCGCCACTCCAAAAAAATATTTCCTCATCACCTGTTAGTCTGCAGTTCATGTCCTAAAGGGAGATACACTTATAGGTCCGAAGCTACCAAGCCATTATAGCCACAATTTCATCATTTACCTTGTCAGATTGGTCGCTGCGGTAGATAAAGGCAAAAGAATTTTGATTTTGCTAGTCTCACAATTAATTCTGGGTCTGCTTTAACTGATTTCACGTAACTTTGCCCAGTTATTTTATCAGATTTTAACATTTCCTATTTGCATTCATTCAGGCCTGGCCAACCTCCTGTAACCATCTCTCAGATAGTAAGATCGACGTGGAAGCGCGATGGTATTAGAGGCTTCTATCGTGGCCTTTCAGCCTCATATGTAGGCAGCTTAGAGACAGCACTCAATTACATGGTCTATGAGAACATCAAAGCCCGACTTCTCTGGCGCTGGCGCTACGAAGAACAGCATCAGGCTCAGTACCAGCAGCGACAGCAATATCTACAATCGGGTGAAGACCAGCCTCCGACTAGAGTTTCGCCTGGTTCCTCATTAACTCAAACCCCAGACAGTACTTATGAAAAACTTTCTTCTGTTAGTTCATCTGATCCTGTGTCTCTTGATGATATGCTAGTGACTAGTGCTTCCGAACAGGAGGCATCCTGTTCTGTGTCAGCATCTGCTTCCTCAGGACTGATGGGCTCGGCTGGTGGCAGCAAATTGACGGCTTCCAGCGACATGCTGCTTTGTATGTGTGCCAGTGCCTGCTCCAAGATGATTGCCATCACGGCAGCATACCCACATGGTAATTAACTTTCTTAAGAGTCTTCTTCGAACCTATCTCTATACATTCGGCATTATTCTGCCCTTATTAATATACCTATTTTTCTTTATGATTATTTTATTACTGTTTGAATTTCGGATATAATCGAAGTGAGATATATCCCATTAAATTTACGAGCTAAACCCTTGTGTTGATAGATCACCAGGTGTTACTGGTAACTTAACTAATCACCAGTATAATTGCTTCCATATTTATTATGGAAAGGTTGGAGGCGGATTTACGTTTGCTGATACTCGAAAGTATAATTTGATTTAATATCCTATATCGCCAACAGACAAGAGATGTGGTAGTGCCTCTCTTAATTAACACACCTTTCTCATTCGGTAATCATTTTGGCATATTATCCAACTTTCCATTATCTTACTATACTGTCATAAGCATGGCCACCTTTCACTGTAACCAATATTAAATTAAATGAAAACGGTAAGTATATCCTTCAAAGAAGCATTAAAGATTTATTTTGTTCCCAATACTAAGAATGAGTGTAAAAATTCTCATTAAAATAATGCTAGTCTAGAATTCCTTTGAAATTACATGCCATTTATCTTAAAGTAGAAAATTAGTCTCAAGGAGGATGTTATAATCAATCAACTGATTATTATAATTTGAGATATAATTGTTATCATATATGAAAACCAAGCTTTTATGACCTCTATATCAGTAACAGTCTCGTTTCACTGTATGCAAGTGGCTTGACCTTGTTTTCGCTATTTGATCATGTTGTAAAGATAGCCTAGTTGGACGCACTTCGTCCAAA